GGTGCTGGAGGTCGGGGGTCAGCCGGGCCCTGAGGGCACAGACGGGTCCTTGGGGTGACAGAGCCTGCTCCCTCCTCTCTGGGCACCTTGGCCAGCCCCAGGGGTTCCCTCTCCTTCCCTGAGGCTTGGCTGTGTGCATGTAGGCAAGGCTGCTTTTGGAGGCTCTTCCCAAGGAAGAGCAAAGTCCAGACAGGGCCGTGCTTTTTCTGCCAGCAGTGCTGTGCAGTGGATGTGTTGCTGTGGCCCTGTGCTCCCCTCCAGCGAGTCGGTGGGTGCAGGGCTGTTTTCAGGCACCTGCTGGGCGACCCATTTTAAACAAGGGGTTGTCTGCATCCATCCACTGGAGAAGCCAGTTGGACTGAGCCCTGTGCCACTTCTGTGACGTTTTTTCTCTTCCCTTTGCAGGTTGGAGCGGAACAGATCAGATCCCTGGGGAATTCTGTCCCCCAAGTGCAGGAGAGAGCAGGCACAGCCCCTCAATGGCTGTTTCTGCAGCTTGTCCATCTGTTTGCGTAGATCACTGCCGAGGAGTCGGAGGATGACCCACCGTCCAGAGAGGAGCGAGCGGATGCCCGGCTCAGCAAGCAGGCTGCAGCAGGAGGGAAGAACGAAGGGGCTGTAACTGAAGAGACTGAAGGCAATGGGCAGAGAGATGAGGAGGAAGCAGAGCAGCCGGACCCAACGGTAACTAAACCGTGGTATCTAGTGATGATGGCGGTCGCTGTGGGTTGTGGTTTAACCCCAGCCAGCAGCGAAGCACCTCACAGCTGCTTGTTTGCTTCCTTCCAGTGGGATGGGGGAGAGAATTGGAAGAGTAAAAGTGAGAAAACTCGTGGGCTGAGATAAAGACAGTTTAATAGGTAAAGCAAAAGCTGTGCACAAACAAAGCAAACCAAAGAATTAATTCCCCACTTCCCATGGCAGGCAGGTGTTCAGCTATCCCCAGGAAGGCTGGGCTCCATCATGTAACGGTGACTTGGGAAGACAAACACCGTCACTCCAAACATCCACCCTTTCTTCTTCTTCCCCCAGCTTTACATGCTGAGCATGACGCCATATGGTATGGAGTATCTCTTCGGTCATTTGGGGTCGGCTGTCCTGGCTGTGTCCCCCCCAGCTCCTTGTGCACCCCCAGCTGCTCGCCGGTGGGGTGCCGTGAGGAGCAGAAAAGGCCTTGACTGTGTGTCAGCACTGCT